AAACTAACAAATAATTGTTTGTTAAATAAATTAAAAATACATTAGCTAATCGGCCTCAAAACGAAAATGTAAGCAAGAGAGTGTGTCTAAAATTTATTGTGCTTCACGAGAAAAATATATACTAGTGTTGCGCCTGATTCACAGGGCACAAGATTATTTACAGGGTGAAAGTTATATGGTTGCAATTACTGTTCTACAGTAGTCATATCTAACCGTTTAAATGTTTGTTTACTTTTATATATTTTTTAACCTTTAACCCTAACTCTCCTGTAGTTACAAAAGAGCCAACGCATTTAATTACAAGACCCAGAGCACCATTTTATAGCCTCTCCTTTGGCATAATGAAGTTACTGAAGAGCCAGTGGGCTATTATAGGGTGTTGGTCATGAGAGTAAATTTTTAAAATACAATTGGATGGGCAAAATAAAGAAAAGTTTCTTCCTTAAAGGTTTTGGAATTAATTAAAAGTCCTGTAGTATGGAAAAAACCTACGAAGATAATATCAGATAAGCAGTCAGATTTTATTAACTTAAAAATGAAAAATTTTGTTACTAGTAACCACCACGTTATTGGAAATCGTCATCAAAGTGATGGCATTGCGAAGAGGGCTATGCAAACTGAAAAAGGCTTCAACGATAAGTTGTCAGGAGGGATATTAAATGATCATTTTTATTGCAATAAAAGGCTACCCCACGTTGTAGGAGTGTCTCCAACCCTAATGCTTTTCAAAACTGAGGTAAGTTATGCAAACTTAGTGAGAGAAGATGTCCTACCGACTAGGAAGGGGGAAGAAATGGATTTATCTAAACTTCTTAAACTCAACATTGATTATAGTATATGGCATAATGATGAAAATTTTGGAAATGGATCGGGACGTTTTAAAAAAATTAATGAAAAGACTTTATGATAAGAATGTGATAATAATGGTTGAGAACTTAAAAGTAGGCGATGTAATCTATCTTGAGAAAAGGGTTAAGGCCTTTAGGGAGAGCAGGTTTGGGCCTAGGGTTATACAGAAGGGCTATCCAGAAACCAGGAAGGATTTCCGTATTAAAATACTATTAAAAATTACTCAAGCTCCAAAGAGACCAAAAAAAAGGCTCCTGGAAAGGACTTTACATCAATTATGCATGTTAGAAAAGTTAGGAAATACAATTTAGGTGAGTGAATTATTTAACACCTCTAATATATGTTCCGTGGAAAAGAAAAATTAAATTAAACTTTTACTGCTAGGTATAGTCGCCTTAGGTTATAAAAATTGTCTGCTTCCATAGATGGATGGTTACGATGGAAATCATTAGGCCAGGATCCGTTAAATACCGAGTGACAAAAAACTTGATTATTAGATCTTTCTTATATGAATAATAAATTTAAGCCTAAAAAATCTAACATATTAGCAGGCGTGCGGGTTTTTTAATGAAAGTGTTATCGATTAAGGATATTTTATAATTTTATATTTAAGTAACTTTAATCTGGGATATAGGTGAACGAGGGGGTCGTATGCGATATAGGCCACGCGAAAGTCATTTGCACGTGGGGAGCAAACCCAATAAGGGTTAATTAGGGAAGGCTCCGCACCATGCTCTTTTTTCTTAGTGTTTAATTAATGGTGGGTGTAGGGCCTTAAAAGCGAAAGTTAATACAGTTTTTTTAGGCTTTTACAAACCTTATATTATTTATCATTATTTTTTATGTTATAATTAGTTACATAATAGGTTAATTTTATATCGGATATTGTCCATAATATGATAGTTTTTAAACTTTTGAAACTAAGACCAACAGTTAAAAATACCCTTCGGAGTCGCCCTTTGATATCTAGTTATTTTAAACAACAGTAACTCCTTAGTTCGCGATTAAAAGGATCGCTAATAAATTCTTAAAAAGCAACGAAGAATTTTAACTGTTGACTTGATTATGTCAGGGCTTTAGTTAGATTTAAAATAATTTAGTCTACAAGTTAAAAGCTTGAAAACAAAAAATCTACGTGTTTGGTGTGTTTTTAGACGTTAAGGAGTTAATAAATTAAAGTCGCTCGCTACTTACTTTAACAAACTTTAAACTTTAAAAATTAAGCTCTTATTTGATCAACCAATGAGATAGAAAGGTTGGTAAAAGCTTTAAAATAAAAACTTTATCTGCTCGAAAATATTACTTATAAAGAAATATCAAAAAATTACTAATAAAGTTTTATTAAGAAAATTAATAAAAGTTTAAAAAATTAATTATTTATATAAAAAGACAATAAAATGTCATTAATATAAAATTAAAACTACAGAGTATTGAGCAACTTAAAACAATTTTTTTTATCAATATTGTAATATTATATTCTTTTGATTATTAAATTAATGTAACAAAAATTTTATTTTAAAAGAAAAACTGAATAATAATAAAAGATAACAATTTTAAAAGTCGCTTATAAGTTCTTTATAAATAGTAAATAAATAAGCTACAGATAAACTCTTATAAACTAAAAAAAATTCAGAGTATATAATTTATATATCAAAGTTATTTCTTTATTATTTAAAATAAATTTTATAAAGGAAACATTCAACTAAAAAAATATTTTTCTAAAACTGTAAATTTGAAAAACTTCATAAATTATTTCATAAAATAAATAATTAATATCAAGAATTATATAAGTTTTTCTATTAAAAGACTGTATTTAAATAAATTGTACTGTAGTATTCTAAAATTATGTTCAAAGCGATATAATAAGTTTTCAAACTATTTGACACTTTTAAAATTTAATTAATAAAGTTTGGAAATAAAATTTATTCTTTTGCGTATGAAATAATATAGTAACGAAAAGTTTAAATTTGTAATTAAAGATAAATTTAAATAATAATTAAATTAAATCATAAGTTCTAAAAAAATACTAAATATAAAATGTAAATAATTTTTTAAAAAAAACTAACGAGGTTTGTAAACAGTATAAAAATTTATTTATTGAATCGTTTGCTCATAAATTTTAACTGAAATTTTATAAAGAACAAATTGCTATTATTTTAAAAAAAATTATGAATTTCTATTGAAAAAAATATTGATTGTTAAAATAATATTTTTTAAACTTATTAAGATTAAAACCAATTAAGATTACGAAAAATAGTTAAACAAATTAATTTCGAATTGCTTGAGGATTTTTAATTCAAAGAAAAGTTTTTGATAAATAAATAGTAAAAAATATGAAAAAGATGATTTAGTATAATTGTTTTTTTCAATAGGGCATAGTAATTTTTTTTTTTAAACTACTTTACACTTAAATTTTTATAAAAAAAAAAATTAAATAATAAAATCTGACTTTTTCGTTTACTGAATTCAGTAGTAACAAATTTTTTTATATACTAAAAGAATAGTAATAATTAAATATAGTTATTTTAAAGTCTTTTATTAGTTCTATATAAATAGTAAAATTGAAGTAATAATTTAATTAATTATAATATAAAAAGTTCATATTTCATGTATAGAGTTTTTTTTTCTCATAGTAATTTAAAAATTCTAGAGGAAACAAAAAATCCTGAAAATGAAATCAATTGTTATTTTTTTTAAAAAATTTATTTGGTAACGAAAATTTTGTTTTAAAAGTATATATTAAAGAAAAAAATTTGTTTAAATCAAATTTGACGTAACTTGAAAGTTTCCAATAAATAGTAAAACCTTTTGTAAAAGTATACATTTTATGTGTTAAATTGTTTGCTAAATTCTGTTACAGTTTTAAAAAGAAAATATGAATTACTATAAATCTCAAAAAAATTTAAAGCACTCCAAGTAAAATATTCTAAATATTTTTTTCTATATCTTATATAACAATTAATTTCCAAGATTCTGAAAAGTTTAGTATTTTTTATATCCGTTATGCTTAAAGCGTATAAATAGGAATATAAATTTCTTTAGTAAAAGTATAAAATTATTGCTTGTTAAATCATCTAAAATTAACTTAATTTTCTATAAAATTTATAAAAAGCACTTCACTAAAGAATTGTTTTATTTGAATTCATTTAAATTCCTGTTAATAAAATTAATTTTTTAAAGCTTAAAAAATTTGTATTTTTTCTATCCGATTGCTTAAGCCCTATAAAAAGGAATATAAATTTCTTTAGCAAAAGTACAAAAATATTGTTTCTTAAATTATCTGCTAAATTTTAATTCAAATTTTGAAAAGAAAAAAGATTTACCTTAATTTTATAAAAATTTGAGCAATCCGAAAAAAAAACCTTAAGGTTATTTTTTAATCTTCATATTATTATAAATTACTTGTAAGATTCTATATAGTTTTGTATTTTTTAGATCCGAAATGCTTAAAGGGTATAAAAAAGAAATTAAATTTCTTTAGTGAAAGTATATATTTTATGTTTGCTAAAATTTCCGCTAATTTTTAATTTTAATATAGTAAAGAGAAAATGATTCACAGTAAATGTTATAATAACTCGAATCACTCCCATAAAGAAATGTTCTAATTGTTTTTTTTTTAACTTCATATAATTTTAATTTTGAGATTCTGAACAGTTTAGTTATTTTTTTTTTTCAATATGCTTAAAGAGTATAAAAGGGGATATGAATTTCTTTAGTAAAAGTATATAATTTATGTTATATAATTAAAATCTTGCAAAGAAAAAGAATTTAAAAAATTTAAAGCAATCCAAAAAAAATCTAATTGTTATTTTTTTTTAACCTTCGTATTATTATAAATGACTTCCAAGATTTCTGAAAAAAAATTATACTTTTTAAATCCGATTTGCTTAAAGCGTATATATAAGGAATAGTTTTCTCAAAAACTAAAAGTAACTTTTTTTAACCATATAAACTTTTTAATATGAAGTGTATAACTTTTTTATTACAAATTTCATCACGAAATTTTTGTATTTTTATAATATTTTATGAAATTATAATAAGTATTTACTTTTAATAGAGACTTTGAGTAAACCTCGAAATGAAAAAACTTCAACTTATAATAAGAATAATAATAAAACAAAATTATAAAGCCTTTATTTAATAAAATATCAATAAATCTATAAAAAATTAAAAACCAAGAGGCTGATGTTCAAAAAAATTACCGAACAAACAACAAATAAAGATTCATAAAATGGGAATTTCTCTAAAAAAGGAGCACACTTCCACCAATTATGGCGGTTTAGCTGAAGAGAGAGCCACCAACGGAATGGCACGAGGCAGAAGTGGGCCAGACGCACGTGAGAGGGCATGGCGGGTAGCAGAGGAACGACGTACAAAAAAGTCATGAGGTAGAGAAAAGTGTTGAGGTCCTGAGCTTTGGATTCTCCTAGAAGAACTACGCTCGTCTGTTTTCCTCCTAGCTCGTCTCCTGTTTGAAGTTTAAGATTATTAAAATTAAATTAAATTAAAAAGTTTAACGAATTTTTGAATATTATTAGAATTATTAATATAAAGTTTAATAGTAATAATAAGTTAAATGTAACAAACACAAATAAAAATATATTTAGTCTAAACATAAACTTTTAGTATAATAATATTTTAAAATAAAATGAGAATTAAAAATTTAATTAATTCGAAAATAAATTTAATATAAAAAAAACTATAATAAAAAAGTAACAAAAGTAAACTTTTTATTAATAGAATTTAAAATTATTTACAAAAGTAAAAACTAAATAAAATCTTTCTTTAGCAAAAATTAGTAAACTGAATGTATTATAAATAATAAAAATACTTATAAAATTTACAAATTCTTAAAATAAAAAATATAAAATAAATAAATGTATTAGTAATATATAATAACAGCAATAGAGAATAATAATAATAATAATAATAATAATAATAATACTTTTAAAGTTTCTTTAACTTTTTTAATAAATAATAAAATATATAAACATAATATATAAAAGTAATAATTATTTTAGTAAATATATTAAAAATTTAAAACGAAATCTTTGATAATTTTATTTAATAAATAAATATAATAAATTCTATAATAATTTTTTTAATATATAAATATATAAAACTTTTACTAGCAAAATATATTAATAAATTAATTTATAAAATTTTTTAATAAGTTAAATATAATAAATAATTTTAATAATAATTAATATAATAATTTTTTAGTAAATATATAAATAAAAATTTTAAAAATGTTTTCTATAAAGAAATAAATATAATAATTTTATTTTTAATATATTTTCTTTACTAATACTTTTAATAAAATAAGTATAAAAATAATAAAAGAATACTTTTACCTGCAAAAATTAAAATAATAATAAAAGCTATATTTAATAATATTGTTCGAGTATAATAATTATTTAAGTAAATAAATAAATATAATTTTTTTAAATAAATTTATGATAAATAAAATATTATAAGTATGAATATTTTAAAAAAAATTCTTTTAATAAATAAAAAAGATAAAGTAAATAATATCACATTTCTTATAAAAATAATAATATTGTTAATAAATGTAATAAATAGATGCATATATTGTAGGCGATTATCCTATGAAAAAATATTTATAATATAATAAATTCTTTAAATATAATAATATTAATGAGTATATAAAAAAAAATATATATATATTTTTAAATTAAAAATTAGTTTAATAAATAAAATAATAATTATATAAGTAATATTTTTTATAGCAGTAAACTTTTAATAAATATATATAATAATATAATAAATTTTTCTTAAAATAATATTATATATATTTTATAATAATTTTTTATAAATAAAATAATTATATTAGTATATATATATACTTTTGGAATTAATAATTCTACAAATAATAAATAACATAAAATAATATTCTTTTATACATAATAATTCTTCTAATAAATAAAATAAAATCATCATTATAATAAATTCCTATGAAATAAAGCTCTCTTAATAAATATATACAAAAAAATAAAAAATAATATTCTTCTAATAAATAAAACAAAATAATGATATAATTTTTTTTATAACATTTTTTTTATGGATATATACAAAAAAGTTAGTGAAAACCTTCTTTATCGGGAATATTCATCACAATCATTCGAGCGCAATTGATAATAAATAGCGGAAGAAGAGAAGAAAAAAAACGCTCATCAAGAACGCCGCCGTAGAGGGTAAAGGAAAGCGCAGGAGTAGCAAAAACCAGAACATACGAAACACAAAGCTTTTAAAAAATATATAAAATTAATAAATTTATTATATTTATTTAATATTTATAAGTAATACTTATAATATAAACAAAAAATTAATAATATTTCATATTAATTTAAAAGAAATAATTATAGAATAAAAGAAAGTAGCAACAAAGTTTTTAAAAAAATATATAAAGTAATTTTATTAATTTTTTTTTAAATTAATTAATTTAATGTAAAAAATTTATGAAAAATAATATTTTATTTAAATTTATAATAGAATATTTAAAACGGCTTTAAAAAAGTAATGTAGTATTAAAAAAGTAGCAACAAAGTCTTCCAAAAAAAATAAAATTAAAAAATTTATTATATTTTTATTATTTATTAATATCATTAAAAAATGATAATATTTCATATTTAATTATTAAATAATACTAAAAACTGCTAAGAAAATGATATAGAATGAAAAAAAAGTAGATCCAAAGTTTGTAAAATATATATATAAAAATAATGATTATTATATATTTTTTAATATTTATTAATAAAAAAGCAATAATTATGATAAATCTATTAAAAAATTTTGTTAGTATTATAAAAAGATTATTAAAACTGATATCTTTATATAAAATATTTACTGTTTATAACATTTTTTATAATATTTAATGAAATATAATAACTAATAATTTTTTAAAATAATAAACTTGTATTTATATATTAATAAATAAAATAAAAATAAAAATAATCATAGAATAGAAAAAAGTAGCAAAAACCAGAATATACGAAACAAAAAGATTTAAAAATTATTATAAATATACAACTTTATTATATTTTTTATAATATTTATTAATAACATTAAATAATATTGTTAAAAAGTATAAATAGTAAAGTAAAAGTAAATATAATAATAATAATTACTAAAGTTTATAAATAAAAAACAAAAAGTTTTTAAAAAAATATATTAATAATAGTATTAGATGAAGCTATTAAGAAAATTTAATAATTTAAGTTAAAGCTTATAAAAAAGTTATAATGAAATGAAGGAACGGATATAAAAGTTATATTATTGATTATAGTTATTATTACTATTAATATAATTATTTATTACTGTTATTATTTTTATTATCATTAATAATTTTATTTGTTAAAATTATTATAATCATTTTTAGTATAATATTTTATTAATATTATATTTATTTTAAAAATAGTTTTTTTAATCCCTAATTATTATTATGATAATTACTTACATTAATATTATTATTGTTATAATTTATTGGCATATTATTATTATCATGATTTATTATTAATAGTTATAATAATTTATTATTATTATAATAATCATGAAATATTATTATTTAATTATTATAACATTTATTTTTAATAGCAATTATAACTATTATTATCGTTGTCATCATTTATTATTATTAGTATTATTGTTATAATCATTTATTACTAATATTATTATTGTAATCATCTATTATTATTTATAATTTATGGTTATTATATTTATAAATATCGTTCATTCTCTTTTTTGTAATTATTTATTAATAATAATTATTATTATTAATTAATATTATTGTAATCATTTAACATTTATTATCTATGAATATTATAATCATTATTATTATTTATTATTTTTTTAATTCATAATTGCTATTATCATTTATTATAATAATAATAATAATCATTGATTCGTTATCGTTTATTATTATTATGATTATTTAATTAATCATCTATTATATTTATTATTATAATCATTTAAAATAATTATTTATTACCATTAGTTATTATCCTAATCGTTTATAATCTTTATTATTATTATAATTAGTTATTAATATTATTGAAAACATTTATTAATTTTATTATTATTATTATTATTTGACATTATTCTTGTTATTATCATTTAACCTCGCCCAATCCGCGAGCCGACAAGCGTAGAGGCTCCACGCTGTACATGATGGACACGAAAAGAACGCTGAAGCCAATCAAAATGAAGCTTAACGGAAACTTAGAAAAACTCTCGACGGGGCTCAAAAGTGCTTCCGTTAAAGTTGTGCTAATAATAATAAGTAATTATAATAATAAAGTAATAATAATAAGTAATACTAAAAAAAAAAAAAGAAGCGCAAAATTTTTATATATAAATAGAAAAAAGTATATTAAAAAAATATACAAACGTGTTTACATATTTTATTATTATGTCAAAAATCATTACTTTTATTATTACCTTTCCATAATTTTTAATACTTTTTGTTATTTTAGTATTATAAATTTTGATCATAATTAACACCACTTTAAAAAATAATAATAATATATAAAGTAGATATAATACTGTAATTACTACTATTAGTAAAGTAATATTTTTTATTTATTTGTATTTTTTTTGTTTTACTTTTTACTACTTTTATTTTAAATTGATAAAAAGTATTAAGCATTAACTAATAATGATAAATAATAATAATAAGTTTAAATAAGAAATAATAATAATTTTAAAAACTCTAAAAATCAGTAATAAAAAAAATAAAAGTTTTATATTTCGTATTAAAGTTTTTAGTAAAAGTATAAAAATACACAAAAATAATTCAAGAATGATATTATTAATATTATCGCAAACTTTTTGATAGTAATAATGATAATAATATATTATAAAATAATAATATAACAAAGCACTTTCAGTAGTAATTTTTATACATGTCTTGAATAAATCTGAAAATATACACTAATAAATATTTAAGAATAATATTAATAGTAATAATTTTATTGTAAACTGCTTAATAATAATAGTAAGAATAAATATATTATAAACTTTTTATAAGTAAGTATATATTATTTAATAGTTTTATTTTATTTTTAAGTGGTGTTTTTATATTTTTCAAAATTTATTTCTATTTAAAACGTACACAAAAGCTTTATTAATGTAATTATAAAATATAAAACTCTTTTAGTAGTTATTATGATAAAAGTTTTAAATAAATCTGGAATACTCAATATAAAATTTCAATTATAGTGTTAATAGTACTAATTTTATTATAAACTTCTTAATAATTATAATAATAAATTATTAAACTTTTTATATACCAGTATATTCTTTTAATGTACTTATTTTATTTTTTGATTATCTTTTTTATGTCTTTCGAAATTTTTTTATATTTTTAAAAAGTACAGAAAAACTTTTTATAATTATTAAAATAATAATAAAATTTTTTTTTATAAAACTTCCAGTATTGCATATAGTTTTATATGAAGTATAAAAGTTTTCAATATTTCTATAAAATTCCATCATAAGAAAAATAAAAAATAAAAATTATTTCAATGCAAACAGCATTATACAAAATAAAAATTAAAAAAAATAGAATAACAAGTAACAAATAATATTAATAAATATTAAATATTAAGTAAAAAAAAACTGAAAGTATTACAAATTAATGTAATATATAAAATATAAAAAATAATAAATCAAATAAATCAAATCAATATAATTCAATATATTTTATAAAATTTTATTATAAAAATTTTATAATAAAATAATAAAAAATTATAAGTATAAAATTTATTCAATAAAGAATTCTAAAAAATGAAATATTTATTATAAAAAGTTTCTTTAAAGAATGAATAAAAAATTTATACAAAAAATTTAAATAAAAGTCCTTTTATATATTTATCATATTTTTTTAAAAAAGTATTAGTATGAGATTTTCTTATAAATAATTTATATATAATGATTATAATCTTATTAAAAATGAAAATTTTATTAATATTTATTTCATTTTTTTTAAAAGAAGTCTACTAATAATACATATATAAATATATGGATATTTCTTATTAATAATAGAATTATAATAAACATTTATCTAGTATAAATATCTACTATATATTTATTAGAATGGTTTTAATAAAAAATATAAAAAATAAATAAATAATAACTTAATAAAAAGAAAGAATTCTAAATAAAAGTTATTTCACATGATTATTAAAATTTTTAATAAATATTAATTGTCCGATATTTGCTTGTTAATAAAATTTGTATATAATAATAATGATCTTATAAAATATCGAGTTATAAACAATATTTATTTATTTAAAAAAGATTACTTAAATTAATTAAATAAAAATTATATATTAAAAATTCTTATTTATAGTAGAATTATAAATAACTTATTTTAGTATAACATAAACATCCATTAGAAAAGTTTTAAAAGAAATAAAAAATAAAAAATAAATTTAGTACAATCTTTAATATAAAAAGGATTATAAGTAAAATTTGTCTTATATAAAGATGTATTTAAAATAAAATTATTATATAAAGTTTATAAAAAAATAAATATTATGAATGTATAATTTTTTTCAAAAGAATTAATACTTATTTTTTTTATTATATTAATTTCTTAAAGATTTATTTATTTTTATAAGTTTATTATAATATACATATATAAAAATTTATTTAAAAAAAGTTATTTTTTATAAATAAATGTATTCATTATATAAAATTTCTTAAAAAAAATTTATATGATAAATAAATATTAAATGTATATAAAAATTTTGTTTATAATATAATTTTTTTAAGAAAATATTATATGAAGTTATATAAAAAATTTACATAAGAATTAAATACTAAATATATAACTTATAAATAAAAATTTATTTAAAAATTATTATTAATATATATGTATTATTTATTAAAAGAAGTTATGTTTACTCGAAGAAAAAAATTGATAATAATAAAAAGAAAAACTTTTAAATTTAAAAATCATAAATATTTATATATATAAAGATTTATATTACTTATTATGGACTTATTTATAAAATAAATAGTATATAATTGACTTATAAAAAAAATTATATATAATATTTGAATTGTGAATTTTTTAAAATAAATATAAATTATATATAATTTAATTATAAAAATAATTTGTAAATCGTATTTATATTATTTGTTATAAATTTTTATAAATAAATATAAATTGTATATTTACTTATAAAATAAATTTATAAATAAAAATGGTATTATTTTTTATACACTTTTATATTGAAATAATTGTATATAATTAGAAAGAAAATTAATAAAAAATATCTTTATTATTTATTATGAATTTTTGTATATAAATGGAAACTGAATGGAATTTACTAATAAAATAAATTATAAATTTACTAAGAATTTAGATAAAGTTTACTTGTGCATAATATGTAAGTATCTCGCGCACGAGGAAGCGCCTAAACTAATAGAAGAAACAAGACTAATAATGCCAAGCAAAAGAGCAGAACTTCGAGGTAAAATTCCTATTGGTGCATTGTTATTAATGATTAGAGAAAAAAATTAAATATTTATAAATAAAATTTGAAAAAATTGTATATTTTATTATAATAAAATTAAATAGAATTTTGGTTTATTTTATATTATTATTTCTAAAAAGTGTAGTTTACCATGAATTTATATAAAATTATAAATAATGGACTATCTATATTTAAAAATTACAAATTCTTATAAATTAGTAAATATTAATATATAAAAATTTTATAATTTTGTATGTTTCATGATAAATTTAAATATAATAAATAGCTTAAATAATAATTGAATATAGAGATTAGAAAAGTTGTATAATTTATATAGAATTATATAGAAATTTATATTTATTTTATATTTATATTTTTAGAAATTATAAAATTGTATATTTTAGTATAAATTTATACGAAATTTTATATTAAATAATAACTAAATATAAAAATAACATAAGTTGTATAATTTATAATGAAATTGAATAGAATAGAAATTATAATTTATTTATATTTATATTTTAAAAAGTAAATTTTATATAAAATATTTATTTAAATTATGAGTATTTGAATGTAAAAATTAAAAAATTAATATAAATTTATAAAAATTACTAGAGTTGTATAATATATAATAAAATTAAATAGAACAAGTGAATTATAGAACTTTTATACATAAAAATTTAAAAATTTGTATAATTTATTACTGAAATAAATAGAATAAATAAATTATAGTAAGTTTATTTATATAAATTTAAATATTTGTATAATTTATAATAAAAACAAAAATAGTAGATAAATTTTATTATATTTTTATATATAATATATAATGAATCTTATAGTTTATCATAAAAATAAATGATATGAATAATTGTGAATTCATTTACTTTAATAAAATGTGAATAGTTATAAAATTTATTGTAAATAATTTTAATATTTCATAATAAAATATTTTATAAATATTATAAATAATATATTATTTACTAAATATATCGAATATAATAATTTATTTTTTTAAAAATTTATATTTTAATAAATTATTAATTGTATAATTTCTAATAAAAATATTATAATTTATTAATTATCAAATATATCGATAATAACTAATTTTGAAATTTATAATTTTAAAAATTATAAACTCGTCAAATGTAAAATTTAATAATAAAAAATATCAAATCGAATATAATTATTTAGTTACTATTTATTTCTTAAAGTATAAAAATGTATAATTCATAATAAAAATATTTAAAATTTTTTTATAATTTATTATTTATTAAAAATATCAAATATACTTAATTATTTAAATTTCATAAAAACTTTAAATTTGTATTATTTATAATAAAGATATTATAAACATTATTTATTAAATACATCGAAGTTCAATAAATCATTTTTAGGTGCGGTAGAAAGGTTTTGATTTAAAATTGTTCATTAGCGATGAGGAATTTTAAATATATTATTAAGGAAACTTGTAAATTTTTTTAAATTATTATATAAAGTCGATAAACTTTGAAAATTATTAAACACTAGCTTTGAAAAATATTAACATTTTCTTTAAAAAGCTTATAACTATTATCAATAGTTATATATATATATAATAAATTATTTGTTTTAAATAGAACACTAGTAACTTGAGAATATAGTAACTTTAAGGTTTTCTAATAAGAACAGGTGCTAAATTCCCTGTCATATGGCGTACGTTATCGTTAATAGCATACTTTGTACTTATCTCTTGGAGCCTTTGTGTTCACTTATTAGACTCGTACCGCTGTAGTGACTGACTTGAATATTATACTTCTTTACAGTTATAAATGAATAGCGACCAGATACATTCCTGCGCAACACCTTGGCATTAACTTTGACACTTGAATGCTGACGCCTTGTCTACTGGCATCGCCTTCGATGTAATTTATTCTTATACGTAACTTAGGAAGATCAGGTGGATCCTTGCTTGAATTCTTGGGGACCCTAGCGAAGTTACTAATGTAAGCTTTTGTCCAACGCAAGTAGCAAAGTCGAACGCAGACGTAGGGGCTTAGTAAGGAGTGATGACTATTAGCACTATATCCCGTTCCGGGACCACGAGTGTGGTGAACCAGTTAAATAGTGATCTCCGTTGTATAACCAATGTAGGTTTAAGTACAGAGTAGCTAACTGTGCTTTTGGCTAGTAAGGCTAATAGTGTTATTTACCAGTAATTGTATACATAATCGCACGACCCCCAGAATTATTTTAATTAGATTATAAACTAATTTAAAAATATTTTAACAAAATTCTATAAATAAAAAAGAAATTTATATAAATAAAAATTTGTTTAATATAAAATAAATTTGAATAATAATTATACATTTTATATCTTATAAAATTATTAAGAATTATTATAATTTACTATAAATTGGATTATAAGTATTTTTTTATTATTTATATTAAAGATATATATTTTTCTTATAAAATTCTGAAACCATAAAAATATAATTTTTAATATATTTAAAAAAATTTAAAAAAATTATAAATTGACTAATTTACTCTAAAATATAGTGTAACTAACCTTATTTATTATTTACATTATAAACTAAAATAATAATTAACGTATAAAATTTTTAGATTAGTATAAATGGAATAGATTCAAATATATACTATAAATTGTATAACATGTATAATATAAAAAAGTTATTAATTTAAATTAAATTATCATATATTTTAATTTTTTTTAAAACTACTAAAAATTATAAATTGTAAACATTTATATTCTAAAAAAATTATAGATTGGTATAAATTATTATTTTTTTTTACCTTATTTTAAAACTTAAATAATATATAAAATGTAACACATTAATAATATAATACTGTTAAATTATCCTCTTATTTACTTTCCGTAAAACTTTAAAAAGTAATAAATTTTAAAATCTAAAAAAGTTATAAATTTGTTTAGATTATCTTTTTCACCTTCTTTTAGAACTTTACTTCCTCCAGTCCAAGAACTGGAATTCTTATTTAAACGATCCACATAAAAATCAGCCCATTCGTTCCAAAAATGAGTACCAGTATGCGTAATGGAAATGGTTAGTTGTGTTAATAAAAAAAGCTTCCAGTCAAAAAAATAAGATGTTTCTCCTAATTTAAATTTAAAGAATTTATTTAAAGAAAATAAAATTTTTCAATATAATTTTTATCTAATTTTTGGTAAAATACGTTTATGTTTGCTTACTAAAAATAATTTAATAACCTTTCCTTTATAGATTTTTTTTAGTTAAAGCTATTAATTAATTAATAGTGAAAAACGTTAATATTCGCCATCAAGATTCTTAAAAAGAATAAAATTTTAAATTCAGTTAATCATCTTTTTTTAAATATCATTTATTAAAAGTAAAATCTAAAATAATAATTCTTAAATGAATTTTTTTATGTTAAATATTTTTCTTTATAATAATTATTACAAGATTAGCAGTGAAAAACTTTAAAGTTCGCTTCCAAGGCTCTTATCAAACTAAATATTCTAACTCTTAAAATAGAAATTTATAAATTAGACATCTTTGAATTTTCCAGCTATTATCAAATTAGTAATATAAAACAATGTTTTCTTTCATAGTTTTTGAAGGAACTATCAATATAATTCTTACATGTTTCACTATCACTCATGCTTTTATTTTACAATAATTTAGAAAAGGTCTAATACTTTTTCTTTGACCAATAATTTTGCTAAATAAATAAGTAAACACATTCTTGATTGTGACTTTTTATTTCACTTTTTATGTATACATTTTAAGTGTCACTCTTTTTTGCTTTATAACATAAAAAATTAGAAGCTTCATCGATTTATATTTTTATAAATATGTATTTAAATTACAAAGTAATTGCTTCAAACTTATCAATAGTCTAATAATAATGTAAAACATAACTATTTCTTCAGTTAAACGGATATTAATATCTAAAATGACTCACCTCGATGTCTTTTTTGATCTATCATAAGTAAAATGCCAGTGATATGGAGCAGTGCTGAGTAGAATAAAAACTTTGGACGAGAAAGTTTTACAAGAGCAAAAAAAATTTCAATATTATTTCTTTTAGGAATATCATTAGTTGGCTTTTTAATTACTTTAGTATCTCTCTGAGACATTCAATAGGTGTGACAAAAAACAGTGATGATGAAAAAGAAGCTCTAAAGGCTTAAAAGGCGTATAACTTTTAGTCACGTGGAGTAAAAGTAATACACGCAAACTCAAACTACTATTTATATTTGATAAAAGAATCATAATTAATAAAAGTTAATTACAAATAATAGCAAAAAAATAATTTGAAATGCTTGAAAAAATGCTTGGTATATTATTTTGTAACTTTACAGATTTTCATAAACCTCTAAACGTTTTGAGATTTCTTTCTCTGCCAGTAAACCAAGCAAACATATTAAGATAACTAGCATGTTACTAAGCTCTTACTTAAAAGAATGAAAATGTTGGAGGTGCGATGTTAGTTAGTAATCAATAGAGAGCACGTAAGCTTTTTATATTAAACTAGAATGACTCGCTAATAATTAAAACCGTAAAAATTTTACGCCTTTTCTCAGCTAATTTCTTAAACTTTTTTGATACTTTACAATTTAGTTTAACGAGAAGAACAGTATTACAAATAATATCTAACTTGGTTGAGCAGGAAACCCAGCAGTGCAAATAAGAGTAATTGAAGGAAAGTGTATATAAAAATAAATATAATATATGTACAATATGTAATAAAAGTAATAATAATGGAATAATAATAAATAAATTAATAAAATTAATTAATTACAAAAAATATGTTTTTCGCTCAAAAGTAGTGACCAGATTTAAAACCTGCAGCGTAGATAGGAACTTCTTCAAACTAAGTAACTATTTTTTTCGCCATACTACTAAACTACACTTTCCATCGTGAATACCTTAATGCATACGACGACAAAACGATGTAAAAATAATAAAAAATAGAAAATAAAAAAAATTAATAGAAATAATTTGAAGTACTAAGGAAAATTA